TTGATAAGGTTTGTGTCGGTTTTATGTTAATGTGATTTCGATTAAGAAGGCCAATATTTAATCATTTAATTTTTCAAAGGGAAACGTCCTTACGTGCAATAGAAATACAGTAATACTTTGGTTACTTGTCATATTAATGTGCTTCAGATATCAAATGTTTAGAAATTCGTTTTGAAAATTATTATCGATTTTTGTTAATTTGTTTTTGAAATATTAACTTCTCAGTTTTAACTCCTGTAGGACCGTGGACCAGGCAGATAACACTGAACAAGGAGACACAATTATCTCGGAATAGAATTTAAAAGTGATGGCCTTCATAGTTCCCCTTAATCGGCATGCAAACAAGCTGCCATAAACGAGAAAAAATAATCAAAATTAGAGGAAGGCTTTCGTAGTTCTGCATTGCTATTTGCCGTGAATAGTTCGGGTCTAGACACTTAGGAGATTACTCGCGTAATATTAGGTACTTAAAACAAAATTGCTTTCTCCGTTATTTCTTAAAAAGCCAAACCTTCTGTTTTCCTTAAATCACTTGATACCAAATAAGAAGAATAAGGATATATATACCTGTAAATATCCACCATTAAATATCACTTTTTGCATCAGGATGTTAAATCGAATTTTAAACGTCTGATAGAGATGTACGAGGACTAACGAAACTAAACAATAAGGTCATTCAGGGCAGTCTCCCACTACTAGTAGTAATTCGTTGAGCTACAGATGGTTCCGAGAACAGACATGGTATGGCCATGACATGTAGTGGATAGCATTGCGATAGTCATTTAGTAGGACGGTCGGCGTTCTATTCCCAAAGGTAAAACCTGCTGCCCGACAGACTGGGGTTCCATTCCGTACTGTGATTTGATTTCGAATTACGTTTTAGAAAAAAAGTCTCTAGACACTTTATTTTAGGCTGTACCATCAGCTTATGTTATTTCTAATATCATAATTGTAAACTGAATATCTTGATGAAACGATAAAAAAACGAGTTTGAACGCAACAACTACTGTGTTCCTGAAAGGTCTGAGTGCAGTATACCATCAAATGGAGTGTTGTAATAACGCAATATTTTGTCTGCGCATTTTGTCTAGAAAAACCACATTGTCAGCGTCTTCAGCTTCCTTAACGACACAACAACGTTTGTAATGCAATGCAGTCACCTACTCAAAGCTAGAGAAAGATTATTATCTTCAGCAATTTGAAAAAAAAAGATATATAGTAATTACAACATAACAGTGGTAGTAGGATACAGAAATGTATTAATTGTTTCATTTCTTTGCCGTTAGGTACCTTAATCACCAAACCAAACGTGAAGGGCATGTTAGGGGGCACGGTTGACCTTGAGTGCACGTTTCAACCAACCGAGACGTGGTACGTCATGCAGTGGAGAAAACGTCTTCTTGACGACGGCGAGATAATCTTGGTGAATCTTCCCCCAAAACAGGAGAGCATGACGGGAGGTTTGTTCCCTTCTGACGTCGTGTTGTCACCGACATGGGCAGACAACAATTTAAAGTCACGAGGACGCACATACGTTGGACACAACGCTACGTCCATTAATTTCAATATCAAACTGTACGATTTCGAATGCACAGATGTAGGGACATACATATGTGTTGTCACGGGCTCTAGCATTGTATCCAAAACAACTGAAGTGGGCATTGTGGGTAAGTATGCAAAACGTAGAAAAAACATGACCTCTATTAGTAATTGTTTTTTATTCCTATTACAAAAATACATATCAATATGTTTGTAGCACAAGTTTGGTTTGATTGATTCATGAATACTGTACAATCTTCAATTTTCGTGAGGGTATATTTTTGTTTAATTCGCAGGTACTCTTAATCCTTTCATTAGTGTCTCCAAAATGACATCTTGATGTTTAAGTATATTTTGATAATGTGGTGTACTCTTGATTTTTAGAAGCAAGTGCCAGGGAATTAATAGTTTTTGAAAACTTTTAACTTTGTGCCCTATGATAATCACAGTTCCACAACATTAGCGTCCGTATGTTAACATACACGATATGATATTCGGGTGTCTTTGTTCATGTATCATGGCTAGAAGGAATTGTAATTCGTTCTTAATAGTATGTGGGTTGTTATGAGAAAATACGATTGTTTGGGATTCATTGTTAATGTTGGTTGGGTAAATAGACTGTCAGTTGTTACAGATGAAATGAGTTTTAAAAACTGGACGCGATACTCAATGTTGAAAATAATGTTTAAATCATACAGATCATGTTTTAATATTTCACATAAATGTGGAATTATTAATTTTATTGAAATTTCTTTTTTTTCTTTCAGCTGTTCCAGGAAAGCCTTCTATTAACTCAGAATTAATGATCGTGGAAGAAAACTTTAATTTTACCCTCGAGTGTGTCGTCAGTCTGGGGATTCCACCAGCAGAGGTCACGTGGTATGTCAAGTATCCAAATGATCAAGATTACACATTAATTACTTCTATGGCCGACCCGGAAGAACAAAGCAGCGAGACATGCGTACCAGTCATCAATCAACAGATCATGACGTCAATAACAGAAGAAACAAGCGGAAGTATATTTCAGTGTAGGGTGGAGGGACCACTCATTGAAAATGAAAACCACCAGTACAATGATGAAATAATCGTTGAAACACCAGGTATGTAAAAAAATTGGTTATTTGTTTAAAAGGTAAATTCTATAACCTTTTTAAAATCGAAGTTCCCAGTTTGTCATTTATTGAAATGAAAATTTGAACAATTTTAATTTTATGGTACTCGTTTTAAAACCATTCAAAATTGTAACAATTTGTGCTTTAAATAATTTTGTACCTGTCCTTACTAATCTGTTGGATATTTTTCACAAATAGCTTTTAATGTTATGATATAACATTATGTTTAATATTATTTGTTGGACACTTAGTCACGTTGCAACATGCTGACTATAATGAAGACATTTTCAAAAAAGCAACAGAGATAACAGCAATGCAACTCTGCATTTTTTCAATCTTTTTGTTATTATTTACTTTGTTTCCAGTTGTTTCTCATCATTACAGCTTTTTGATATGAATACTCATTTTTTCTTATATGTGTCTTTCACCCATGTGAATATTTGTTTTCCTTTTTATTTTTAAAATTCAAAAACAGTGGAGTGTGCAGTCACCAAATTTTCGTTGCCCTTAAAACCTGTGTCCTCTTTGGTTATTTATCCTGTTTGTCGTTGTTCCTTCATTTGGTTAATTTTATGTTGTCCATTATGTATCTGTTTTTGCAAGTTGAAAGTATCTGCATATCTTCAGTTTGTTATTTGACTTCATGCTTTTCGATGTTTTAGTATGTGTGCCAATGCTTTTCGACTCGCTAACTGAAAGTCTCACAAGAATAGCAATAACAGCTTCAAACCAATGGCTTCTCCAAATTGTTCTAAAATGTAATTCGAAATTCTCCGAAAGGCTAAATGAATGTTTGCTCTTTATTGATATGATTTCTTTTTACAACACTTGAAACCACAGAGTGACACTTTGACTTGTGTGTTATCGTGTAATGAATATCTTATCTTATCGCTGGAAAAATCAACTTGTTAGTAAACATAAAAGTCACTTTCTCCTTGGAACTCTGAATAATATTAAGCTGTAATCTCTGTAAAGAGGAAATTTATACACATATCATGTTTAGATTGAATAGGTTCAGTACTATTGAAAGAAAGTTTAGGAAAAAGGACATCTAAATGTCATATTTAAACTGAATTAAGTCAGTGCTATCGAAAGAAACTTAAGATAAAGGACATCTAAATGTCATATTTGAATAGGATTGGGTTGGTGCTATATTTGAAAATTCAAGAAAAAGGACACGCTAATGTCATGATAAAACTGAATATGGTCAGTGTTATTGAACGAAAGTTAAAGTGCAGGACATCTAAATGTCATATTTGACACTTCTTCGTGACGTCATTAACGTATAAGAAACTCTATGTCAAAAATACGATGTTTTAATTAATAATAACATTGTTTTATTAATGGAGAACTTCGTCCCGACCCATCAAGATGTCATACTTATAAGGTTGGACGTCTTTAAACGTGATATCATTAGTATGGCCATTGGTTATGTTGCTGTTTCTATTCTCATCATTTGGGAACGTGCCATTGGTTACGTCCGTCCTTACTGCACACTAAGTCATATTCTCCTTTACAAACCTTTGCAGGAGTCTCCTTGTCAATGTTTTTTTTTTGTTTATATTTTGACCGCGTTGAATCGATTGTGAGTTTGAATTAACATTCTGTTTACATGCCGACATTATTTTTTTCTTTTTCTATTTTCATATGGTCCTTTTCGTTCTTTTTGACAATGTTTTTTGTAAGAAAAATGAAATAATTTTATGTACAGGAGCTGGTGAAACACTAGTAAGGGGGAATTAATTGGTTAGAGGACAATATATTTTATGAAAATATGATTTTTTTGTTGTAATTTAGAACCCATTGTGACCGAGGCCCCATACGAGGTACCTTGTACAGGAAAAAACTGCAACGTCAACAAAACGGCTGCTCTAGGTAATGAATGGTCGACTAACGGAAAAATGTTGTTAATCTTATTATTGCAATCTGACAACAGAAAAAAATGTCTTGCTTCCCTGTTGCTATCCAAAACGAGGGGTGTTTTTATATACAGTTATGTATATGTGAGGGTGATTTGGTGTAATTTTGCGTAACAAGATAAATCAGAAATTTCAAAATAGTTTTAAGTAAACACTATCGTGTTTATCATTATTATTATTTTAGTTTAGTTTATTACGCACATTTGTTGATATTTACTTTGTTTATTTGATTGTTTACACAAATCACGTCGTTTTTTATTTTGTTTTAATACATCATCACAAAATAATATATAATTATTGCATTTGTTTTAAAAAAACATGTTGTTTTCTTCTCGTTGCAGAATTCAATGGGGCTGAATCAAAACCAAGCGTCATGATGACAATGATTGCCTGCTTGATCATGTTCGTCAGTACGTTTGCTCTGCGGTAGTGAATTGGTTGATATGGTAGTCTGTCTCGGATATGAAAGAACACAAGCACCATGATTGCACACCGTGACATTGGATGGTGGACCAAAAAAGACTTCATAATTATCACAAACACGTTTTCAAGAACACGTATATCATCGTATATAAATGGCGGCGACAACTTTGTAGAAGAATTTGATGACAGTTGACGAATGCGTGTTTGAAACGTTTCTGTCATAGTCTTAACAGATCCAACAGGGTCAGATTTGATGCATAATTAAGATTGGAAAGTCGTTAATATCTCATTGAAAGATTCAAGCCATTCGCAAGATCTTCATAGTTACCATATTTGGGAAATTGTGGTCGAAATGGGGACATACTCCCGACGGGGTCGGCGTTTTTTCGGGACTGTCGTTGAACGATGTGCGGAGTGTCATTGATGTATGGTAACCATGGTAACGGGTTTTAAGTCTGGTCAGGAAGATACTGATAAATTAGTATCGGACATACGATTAGATATGTTTGATAGTTCGTGTATTGATTTCAATTAGCCGTCCAGTAATTGGTTAAAATAGTCAGAATAAGTTTGTCTGCATCCACCTCCAGGAGCTTTTAGAAGTCTGATAGACCATATTTGCATTCCGATAGCATAAAAATTCTAAATTCGATGGTATTTTACGTTTAGTGGTATTGTCCAGATTTATGATTTAGTATCTAACATTTACATGAAGAAGTAGTTTGAAATAGAACATTGTGCAAAAGACACACAGGAATAGCACAAATAAATACAAATTTGGATAAGATACAGTTGAGCCAAACCAAAAAATACACTTCATCATACAGCTGTTTTATTCTTCCAGGATTCGTCAGTGGTGTGATGAGCCTGAAATTTTGAACCTTTGATGACTACTGAAAAAATATCCAAAGTGCTCGAAAGAAATGTCAGAATTTAAACAGGAAAGTGCACGTGCCTCATAATTCAGTAAATTCCGTAATTGTCATAATAATTCTAGAAGAACGTGAAATACGTGTGCTGAACCGTGCCACTTTTCGAATGAACTGAAGCGTGACACGCATATCAAAATATTCAAATTTTTAAACATGCTTTATATTCGAATCTTCTTATGGACCTAGACTTGAAGTAAGAGGTGATTCCATCATTCACTTATGAAGCTAAACAGAAAATATATGATATATTTCACGTTCCAAAGAACTTGTTTGTATTACCTTGTATACGTAGGAAGAATTCCCTGTAGTTTTCATTCACTTTTAAAGAGCGTACAATCATTTCAACAATAGTAAGAAAGTCCCAGGCAAACCCAACAGTGACGTGGTGCCTATCTTAGTTTTGACGAGAAACTCCATCATCTCTGATTAATTATATTTCACCCATAAATCAATCGCGAATCATGGTAATCATAATTTCAATTGGATTAAAATGAAGACCCTAAATTCCACTAGGTTGCTCTCTGTGTTGGGATCTGACATTATTCCATAAGGAGTAAAAATCTGCTGAACGTTTCCATAAGTCAATCAATTAACTGCTTATACAATCTGGAAAATGAGTGAAGGTGGGAGAAATGGCATGCATAATCCATTTATTTCGTCTCAACATGTCGCACATAGCTCAAGCATATTTACATCAATCTGATTAAAATACTGCACCCTTTTTCACTCCACTGCGAAGAGTTAAAATTCAATTACATGCTGTAATATAATGACTTGCTGCATATGAAATCGTCTATTAGACCATTTGCTTTGGGTGAAGTTCAAAGGTTGCAAATGTCACCAGAACATGGCCCCTTTTGGGACATTGTCGGATCCTAATGCGGAGAGTAACGGAGCGGGATTTACGATATGCATTTTAATAAGATTGATCAAAACGTCGTATGCTGTGTAGTGCATCTAGTCATATTAGTCGGCTTCTATCATTTTTAGTTACTCTCGTTTTCATTTTTTTTTCACTTTCGATATCGTTTCTCTGTGATACCCATTCCTATCATTGGAGTAAACATTTTCATATGAAACTGGATGTTCCAGTGACGTTAACCACTTAAAAACGAAACCAGCAAACATGGAGTCTGTGAAAGACGTTAAAGGTTTAAATATTAGAAATAGAAATATTTTTTCAACTTGATTTTAATCAATATGTTGTTAATTAAAAAAGTTTTAAATGTCACAAATTCCATAATGAGTGAAAAATTTTGAACGTGACGAATTTGATCAAATTTTTTTCATTTGGAAGATTGTATTTTAGTTAATTGGGTGTTATTTACAAAATTTTCTTCACTATCAAAGCTAGAAAGATCATAACTGAATCAACTTTCTTTATCAAAACCTAAATAAGCGTTAACATAAGAGTACCTTCGACTGACGGGTCGTCAATAATTTGATACGACCATTTTCACAAAACTGCAGAGAAATCATCATTATGTTGAATGATAGCGGTTCATATGTGTCGTTCTATAGACATACTTGTTGTATCAATACCTCAAAATAACTGTATTCATATTATTCCTAGTGAAAAGACAATCAGGTACGAAGGGAGACAACTACTGGAAAAGAATACAACAAACAAACTCATTAAAAGACTACAAATGAAATACTAGTGAATAGCATTTTTCAAAACAATTTAGAAAAATTTTCAATCTAAATATAAAAATCCTGGTATTATTTTAAATATCGTCGAGAAACAAGAATTGATAGGATCAGATAAGTCAAACATATCGATCTAAGAAAATTTCAGTATCAAAAAAAAACATAATATTTATATAATGTAAACAAGGAGAAGATAACTGCGTGGAAATGTGCAATTTATAAAGACTTATAAACGTTATGTCTCATTACGTTCTCGTTATTGATGTAGGATATTTTTTTTGTATAATTTTGTCTAGTAGTTTTCATTCACTGCAATATGTTTTTCTTACCTTTAATTTGTATTGATATGTGTGAAGTGCTACCAAATGTATATTTTATTCATATTTGGGATAACATTATTAATTAATGTACACTTTCCGAATCTTGAACGTCAACACTGTTTGGGTGATAACTGGATATGCTGAGCACTTGGAAACTTTCGTTTTAGATTCATTCCTTGCTTCGTTATGCCAGGATGGCGGAAAAAGTACCCACAGTATCAACGAAAATGAATCCTGTATGGAAATTGATGATTTTACAGTATTTTGTCCAACAGAAAGTAAATATCAATAAAGAGAAACATGCAGGCAAGATTTAGTATTCAACGTAGTAATAGCAAACGTTTTCTGTATTTAATTAAGATGTTTATGGGAAACAACGCTTGTTTGTCATAGACATTACTTTTGAGACCAGAAATGTACAAAAGACAAATATTTTCCTCATTTTGATTCAAGCCTGGCTTTTCTTCAAAATCAGCATAGAATCTTTATCTTGTCATAAATAGATGTACGATACCATTTATCTTAGTGAAAAAAAGATTGAAATATGGTTTACGTTATATATACTTAATGAGTGATCATTTTAGACATTATCAGCGTGAGTGAGTGGGTGTGTGATATATCAGATGTAATGTCACTTATTAGGTACTTAGGGAATCGAGATTAGGGTGTGAATGTATGGTATACTAGGAGTAATGTCACTTATTAGGTACTTAGGGAATCGAGATGAGGGTGTTAATGTGTGGTAAACCAGAAGTAATGTCATTTATTAGGTACTTAGGGAATCGAGATGAGGGTGTTAATGTGTGGTAAACCAGAAGAAATGTCACTGATTAGGTACTTAGGGAATCGAGATGAGGGTATTAATGTGTGGTATACCGGAAGTAATGTCATTTAATAGGTACTTAGTGAATCGAGATGAGGGTGTTAAAGTGTGGTATACCAGAAGTAATGTCATTTATTAGGTACTTAGGGAATCGAGATGAGGATGTGAATGTGTGGTATTAGTTTGTAGGATGACCAGATATACTGTTAAAATGTAACACATCTAAGTCCAGTTAACATCGTTAGTCACTTCGTATAATTTTGAATAGGTGTTTTCATCTTATATATATATATATATTCCAATATATTTATTCAGTACGATTTACCATGTCTGTTGTTATATAGAATACTCAAATGATAGTTTCGTGAAAATGAATACACATCTGCGTGTAGATGTAGGGTTGTAAGTGATACACACCTCTGTATGTGGGTGTATATGTGAAATAACACGTATCTATATAAATGTATGAAAGTGACACAGACTTAAGTATGTTGTTGAAGTAACAAACACACATTTATCTATGTGGGTGTAGGTATGGAAGTGGCATACTTTTCTGCACGTGTGAAAGTAAAACACTTCTCTATATCGGTGAAGGTATGAACGTGACAAATATTTCTGTATGTGGTGAAATGTGCGGACACTTCTAATGATATATCTCATATTTTCATGAATGAATGTTGTACATATATATTCTTTTCGATGAATCCATGGTCAGTTTTATCAGACAAATGACCAATACGAGGCTCACAAGCACTAACGGACGAGATGGTAAGGAATCAACCAACATTTTCGGCTGCACTGTCATTCTTACTTACACTAAGGTGTAAAATAATGTGACGAGATGGTAAACAAAGGATTACAGCACAGCCGAAAAGGTTGATGTTGATTCCTTAACATTAGTCTTTGACGTATTCTGATCTTCGTAATGATAAATTTAGAACGTAGGCAAGAACCAAATTGTTCGACTTAAATTATAGCGATAGAGCGAGTAATCGCGACTGTTTTCCAGTAGATAGGTTCGGAAATGCGAACAATAAGATTATGAACTATATTTCGTGTACATTGTACTATAAACTGTAATTACTATCACTTAGTAACTATGTTGGCACTAATGATAAATCAAAAGACTCTGCGTGAACAGCAATCATCCATAAAACCAACTGTTGACAAAGTGTATGTGTGTAAGAAATCCAAGCCACGCCATTACATATATGTATAAATTCACTATGCTGTATATTAATATCCACAAATTGTTCAATATTTGTATTAGTTATATTTTCTG